ACTGTTTAGTCAGGTTTGCAACGTTCTTTATATAGTTAATTTTTCAGACATAATATGCCAGTTTCTTAGCTGTGAAACACGTGAAATATTATTTCAATTAATTTCATTCATTTAATACAGCTTATTTCTATAAGGTCACTGCTGATCATAGACCTCCTCCATAGATTGCCTCGTAGGCCGCATTTGCCATAGTTGTCATGCTTGACAACTGCAGTTTTTTATTACTTTGTATTGCTATAGATGTATAGATTACAAAGTTGTAAATGAAAAGCAATAAAATCTGAAGAATATCACCTCCTTATGTTTGTTCAATCAATATCAAGGTTAGTACGTATGTTTTCTATTGTTAAAAAATGTAATGATTTTAAATTTAGAAAAAAGAAAGTGACAAAAAAAGTCCTTACAGTATATATATATAATTCTTCTGTCGGAGTGTGTGACTGAAATGCTTCTAAACGGCTGGACCGATATTGATGAACTTTCGTGCGAGATTAAGTAGATTCGAGAATAGTTTAGATTCACAACTGGACCCGGTAGGTGGCGCTGTTGTCGAGATCGAGAAAGGATCGCTAGTTTAATGTAATTTTCACCAACTTGTAGACGGTCGATTGACTTGAACATTTGCACAAGCACCAATAATTTAATAATTTTATCCTAGTATCCCGATCAGGATCACGAGGATAAAATAAAATAATTAACAGGATCATCACAGCAATGCGTGTTGTTGAAGTTTTTTTAAACTCTTATATTATTATTTGTTGGTCTAATTTAGCATTTCCTTTCTGAGAAGGTAATGGAGCAAACTTATTATTGCTTACAATAAAAATATTTTTGTGTATCGTATTGTAATAATGTCCTCCAGACCGAATTTCGGTCACGGCGGCCAGTCTCAACGAAGTTTAGCCTAACTACTTGGTACTATTATCTATTCTGTGGTCAAAAGGAGACTAGCCATATGCGCAGGACAGGATTATAGTGCTCGAGTGAATGGTTTCAAGCACAGGTTTATTTCCTCACTAATAGTTCAATAGTCCGACACAGGCGAGAAGAGGACAGACGCAGTTTCTTGACAGAAAATGCCAATAACTGATTTTGATCCGACCTGGGATTCGAACTGGGGACTTTATGATTACAATTGCATCATAAATTTCAATTGTCGCCGAAATATTTATTTCATTCCTCAAATGCTTTATAGTATAAACGTTAAGTTAATATTCTATTATCTCTGCTCCAAATATGCACGATGTTTTCCATCACCGCCGAGCACGTGGTAAATCAGCACTTGAAATTGCAATTAACAATTTCACTGGTGAAGACGGGAATCGAACCCGGGTTGCTGTGAAATTTACGAGCACGAGCTCGAGGCGAGCACTTAATCCCTGAACATCATCGTGGTATCATTCTGCAGCTATATTATAATTGTATCAAGAATGGGTCGGCTTGTCCAGGGAAGGACCACACTCCCACAGAATGCCAGCACAAAATAGCATAGCAATGGTGTGTGTAGAGAACCGGAGACTCTTTTTAGTGGATACGAGGCATTCCATCTTAGTCCTCAGGGGTGACAAGTGACAACATTTTTTTTACGTGGTAGAACCATGCTGCAACTATATTAGTAGTATAGTTGTAGCACAAATGGGTCGGCTCGACCGGGGAAGGACCAAGCTCTCACAGAATACCAGCGTAAAATAGCAGCTTAACGCTGCTGTGTTTCGTATGGTGAGTGTAGAGTACCGGAGACCCTTTTTACTGGAAATGAGGCATTCCATCTTAGTCGTCACGGGTGACAACGCAACTGCATTTTGATTTGTAATAGAGGATATATGTAGATGTCTATAGGCTACAGCAACCACTTACCATCAGGTGTACTGTGTGCTCGTTTGTCACCCTTATGCTGTTTAAAAATAAAAACTACTACAGCTCTCTAGATACCTAATAGCGTACGTGAGGGTAATATGATCATCCGGTTAATATAGTCACTTTCTTATAACTCAAAAACTACAGCCTTATTAGCATGGATGGTTCTCTGATAGATTAGCTCTTCATCAGTCAATCAAATAATAAAGGGTAAAAAGAATGCTGCTTTGTCGACGCCATTTTGACAGTTGACATTATAGTACGAGTAATATGGGCATTAAATGTTCTTTTTTAAGTGTTCCTAATTATTATCAAAGCTTGTTTGCTTTTTTTTAACCTATTATAAGCCAGAGCCTGACCACAATCCCACCTGATGGTAAGTGGTGATGCAGCTCTAGATGGTAAATCGCAATGTCTTAGCGTAACAAAAGCCTATTCACTCTTGCCTTGAAAACGCCCTGATTGTATTCGGACGGAAAGATAGTTTTCTTAATAATGTATGAGTTATAGTATACGACTTTTAAACGTGGTAGAGCCATGTTGCAGCTATATTAGTAGTATAGTTGTAGCACGAATGGGTCGGCTCGACCGGGGAAGGACCACGCTCTCGCAGAATACCAGCGTAAAATGGCAGCTTGACACTACAGTGTTTCGTATGGTGAGTGTAGAGAACCGGATACCCATTTTACTGGAAAAGAGGCATTTCATCTTATTCCTCACGGGTGACAACGCATCTGCATTTTGAGTCTTTATTGAGGATAAGTGTAGATGTCTATGGGTCACAGTAACCACTTACCATCAGGTGGACTGTGTGCTCGTTTGTCACCCTATCCTATAAAAAAAACGACTCTGTTTTTGTCTCTGTCCTTCTCCTAGTTTTGGTTTTATAGGGCGGCAAAGCTTAAGCCGAACATATTACCCTCATGTAACTTAGTTTTATCTAAAAATGATTACTGATAGCAAATAATATGTACTATTTTTGTATTTATCTTCGATCCAATCCCTCTGTCAGTCACACCCTATTTAATTGTATCGAAGCTTGTCCAATTTTCGTTTGTATTGTTTGTACACGCGTTCCATCACACCACACGCTTTCATACGTCGTAAGTTAATGACCCAGACACGTTGAAGGCTGTATTACACACAATACAATATACTATTATATAAGTAAGCATGTGCAAATATGTCATGCCATGTATTCTATTCTTTTTATACCTATAAGTAAAAAGAAAAGTTACAGCCTATATCCCACTGCTGGTCAAAGGCCTCCTCTCATTACCGAGAGGGTTTTAGGGCAAGGAAATGTCCGCCGCTCTGCCCCAATGCGTGTTGGCGAATTTCACATGTCTTCTAAATATATATTTTTTAATCTCAGACATGCAGGTTTCCTCACGATGTTTTCCTTCACCGCCGGGCACGTGGTAAATCAGCACTTAAAATTGCAATTAACAATTTCATTGGTGCCGGCGGGAATCGAACCCGGGTTGCTCGCGTACTGTGAAATTTACAGCGACCGCTTAGCCCCTGAGCTACCACGGCTCTTCGATGATGATTGATTATTAGAATAGAATAAAAATTAAAATATTTATTCATCGGCCAACAGTGATACAAAAATATTAGTAACAAAAAAGACTTATGACCTATTTATCACAAAATGTAATATAATATAGGTGTAAAATATAGGTATGAGCCGTGGTAGCTCAGATGGTTAGCGCTCGGTGTAAGCTTCACAGTAGGTACTCGAGCAACCTGGGTTCGATCCCCGCCGGCACCAATGAAATTGTTAATTGCAAAACCTGCATGTCTGAGAAATAAGAAAACAAATGTTTCGAAGACATGTGAAGTTCGTAAACACGCATTGGGCCAGCGCGGCGGACATTTCTTTACACTTACCCTCTCAAAAATGAGGGGAATCCTGTACCAAGCAGTGGTACGTATATAGTCTGTAACTTTAATTTTTATCTTTAACCAATCATCAATTTTATCATCATCAGACTGTAACAATCTGCAAGACTGAGGAATAAAATATTTCGAGGTTATGCGAATTTCGCCAACGCACTGAAGCAGCGGAGCGAATTAATCGCACCATTACCCTCTCCGAAATGAACAGAGGCGTGTGCCAAACAGTGGGACGTATATAGGGTAGTAATATTTACTTTTCTTAACACCACCTCATTCCCATTTCCCCGCCCATTCACTGTCTTCTTTAATTTTCTTTTATTCATAATAAACCATCACAAGTCTACTGAACAGGCCTACCCCAAGAGTGTCCACGTGATGGTAAGTGGAGACTGTGGTCTACAGACACCTACATTTACATTCGATATTGAGCATCAAAATACAGATGCGTTGTAACTCCTGAGGACCAAGTAGGAATGCCTGGCTACCAGTAAAAATGTTCGACTACTATACGAAACACAGCAGCAGCAATGCTGCTATTTTACGCTGGCATAGCCTAGGTAATGGCATTCTTCCATGTGATGGCATACTTTCATGTGATGGCATACTTCCATTAAGCTTGCGGATTGTCAATTTCAGTTTGTTGTTATTATCAATACCGAGTTATTGTCAGTTGGATTCTCTTACGGCGCCATTACAACGCGGTCTTTGTAAATTATACTGGCAAAGAATTCTAGCATAAAATATATATAGTACATGTTTTTTTTTATAGGATAAGGGTGACAAACGAGAACACAGTGCACCTGATGCTAAGTGGTTGTTGTTGCCCATAGACATATATATCTATCCTTGATGACGAATGACGAATGAAAATGCAGGTGAGTTGTCACCCGTGAGAACTAAGATGGAATGCCTCGTTTCCAGTAAAACGGGTCTTTGTGTGTGATGTAACTGGTTTCTCGGAAACGGCTTTAACAATTTGGATTAAATTTTGTATTTTGTTAAAGTTTTACATTCCAAGTTTCCATAGGCTTCATCTCTAAGAAAGTTATATTTATTTTCCATACGTCGATTAAAATTCGGTCGACTTAATGCTTAAAAGTTAAATCTAGAGCTGTCTAAATAAGTCTGTCTGGCTGTATATCTGTCACAAAACACTAAGTGCGCATATTACGCTGAAATACATTTTAAAACTACTCCAAACATCTTCATTGTATTATCATAATAACAATTTAAAAAATTACCTGACTTCTCTCTTCTCGGCCTCCTCCTGCGACAGGTCCTCCTCCACAGAGTAGTCCAATATGGATTTCACTCCGAATGAGCGCAGTCTGAAAGGAAAAATCAAGTTAATTAATGAAAGTGGAAAGTAGAGTTGGACACGCCTCAGGGATCAACTGAAATTGATTCTTCTTCGTAAACGCTTGTTAACATTAACAGTTATTTTTACTTTTTAGTAGATATTATGTTGTGATTATGTCACGGGCAAAGTGCAGATACACTCACATTTAGCCGGCAACAACTCGGTGCAGCCAATTACGGTTACAAAGTAGACAGATACACAAGTGGTAAAATTTAAAATTTTGTACAACCGACTTCAATATAAATAAAATGAGAACATCATCAATGTAGTCGAAGTCAATTCTTTTTTTTAAAGTATTTAAAAAACCGTTACCACTAGGTCCACACTAGGATTTTCTCCTGTGTCGTGGAGGCAGTTTACAAACATAAATTGCACAAGGACAAACATCCAGACCCGGAACAATTATTTGTAAGCCATACAAATTTACTTGTTCCGTGCGGGATTCGAACCAGCGGCCCCCAGCGTAGCAACTCATTGCTAAGCCACTGCACCAGGCAGCCGTCAAAAATTAAATACGCATTATTAAGGATAACTCAAAAACTACTGGTCAGATCTTAATAAATGAAAATGAAAAGATTCATCAAAATCGGTTCACCTAGAAAAAAGTTCTGAGATAACACACAAAAAATACAGTCGAATTGAGAACGACCTCTTTTTCTTGAAGTCGATTTAAGTCCGCTTATATATCACTTGTGTATACAAGAAAACTTGGATGTATTCAAATTACTCATTAATATTCCAAACCGGAATAAAGAGACGTTTGGTCAGCAACCAATCTAGAAAGAAAAGAAAAAGAAAGTAGAAAAGATTATAAGAAGAAAGGAAGTACAATTTTAGGTTTTTATCGGTGTTTAGCGATATTTATTAACTGTTTAACGATATTAGGATTGCTGGATCTCGGCAGCAGCGCCACCTACCTGGTCGTTAATAATATAGCTATAACGCTATATCTATGGGAAACTATATTTATATTTTTATCATGTGGTAAGACTTATTTTCTGACTAGGAGGGTAGTTACCACTCTTTTACTTATTTCTAACTGCCTCGTTGGTCTAGTGGTTGTAGTAGTGCAACTGCTGATCACGAGGTCCCGGGTTCGAATCCCCGGTCAAGGCAAAAAATCAGTTATTGAGCTTTTCCATCAAGAAACTCTCAGCAGCTGCCTGGAGTCAGCAAGCTGGCGGTGTCTCACCCCCGTGCCTCGGAAAGCACGCAAAGCCATTGGTCCTGCGCCTGATCTCTCTCCGGTCGTGTCGGTTTACCGTCCCATCGGACTATGAGAGTGAGACAATAGAGAGTGCACCTTTGCTTGCGCATACACTCGGGCACTATAATCCTGTTCTGCGCTGATGGCTAGTCTCCGATGAGGCTGGCCGCTGTGATCGAAATTCGGTCTAGAGAACATTATTATTATTATTATTATTACTTATTTCTACTGTCAAATAGCAGTGCCTGCACTGCTGTGTTCCGCTCTCAAGGGTATAAGAGAGCCAGTATAATAACAGGTCGTGAATTCCATCTTTGTCCTCAGAGGTGATATCGCATGATATGATAATTGTACAACTATTATACAGTTACCGTCTATTAAAGTCCACAGCTGAACATACTCGTAGGCCTCGCACATAGATTGTCTCATAGGGGGGATAATTGCCATAGTCGCCACGCTTGGCAAGCGGGTTGGCAACCGCAGTTTTTTTTTAGTCGCGCTACGCTGCTACCCATCTCCAGATTTGTTTCCCTCTGTCGCCTCTTACGACACCCACGGGATAATATAGGGTAGTGGATATTCTTACATTGCGACTTCACGGCATTGTTATGTATTAAAAAAATGAAGCGAATACAATGTGTTCTAATCTATTTTTATAGCTACAGTGTAAAGACCAATACAGTGTAAAAACCTCTATAGCATAGACATTGTTCGAGATTGATGATATTGGTCGGTTTACATTGTTACCCATACAATAAAAAATAATGTAATGATCACCTCTACTATGTTTTATGCTTTTCGTTACAAATACAATTATATTACATTTTCTAAGGTTCTCAGAAATGAGAGGCCTGTGCCCAAGAGGTGAAAGTAGACTAACTTTTAAATAAAACTAGTATTTACGGATTTTATCGCGTATATTAAATTATTTTATATTCAATATACGAGTACTATAAGTTCATACTGCGTAGATCAGAACAAAAATTAATAATTTTTATCTGGAGGTAGCCGTGGTTAACTATGACATTGGGACGTTAAACATCTCAGTCCCCCCCCCTCCCCCTCCCCCGGTAGCCATGGATGCTGTAAAGTTCAAATAATTACACATTCTGAAGTCGGTGATGACATAGTGGAAAGAAGAATCAAAGGCCCGACTTCAGAACGTTGTATTAAATGTAGTTCTTAGAAATCGTCGTAAAAGTAATAAATACAGTGTAATTGAGAACCTCGTATTTTTTTGAAGTTGGTTGAAAACTTCACCTCTATTAAGCCATCCTCAGAAGTGGAATCTTTCTCCAAATTTATATGGGACCACTTACTGACGTTTATTTATTTATATATAACATGGTCTCAATTGTGTTTAGTGTTTGGTGGATCTAGATTAGATTCAAATGTTGATATTGTGGAGTTTGAGTTCAATCTGGAGATCGTCTCTAATACCGGTCTTAATCGTCTCGGCCTTGACGCTACTTCCACTGTCGCTTCCCACCCAACCTTGCCCCGAATCTCTTTTTTATATTTCGGAATTTTTGTAAGCGTTTGCCAATATTTACACGAGTCACTTATCTGTACATCTGTACAATGTGTAACACGACAAACACAGAGTTAGGAAAGATTCAGACCAGACGGAGCGAGTGGGAATTAATTAATTAATTTAATATAATAAATTTTCTACGTGGCAGAGCCATGCTGCAGCTATATTATGGTTGTAGCACGAATGGGTCGGCTCGACCGGGGAGGGACCACGCTCTCACAGAAAACCAGCGTACAATAGCAGCTTAACGCTGCTGTGTTTCGTATGGTGAGTGTAGAGAACCGGAGACCCTTTTTACTGGCAAAGAGGCATTCCATCTTAGTCCTCACGGGTGACAACGCATCTGCATCTTGAGTTTTTATTGAGGATAGATGTAGATGTCTATGGATCACAGTAACCACTTGCCATCAGGTGGACTGTGTGCTCGTTTGTCACCCGATCCTATAAAAAAATAAACGGATTTTGATGCGGTTTTCACCAATAGACAAAATGATTCAAGAGGAAGGAGGAATATGCATATTATATAATTCTTCTGACCGTGTGTATGTGACTGAACTCCTCCTAAGCGGCTGGACTGATTTTGATGAAATTTTGTGTGTATGATTAAGTTGATTAGAGAAGGGTTTAGATCCACAATTGGACCCGGTGGCTGGCGTTGTTGTTGAGATCCAGAAATCAACCGTGCGAAGCCGGGGCGGATCGCTAGGTTAAACTAGTAATATGCAATTACATTCTGTAAACACTTGGAACAAGCGCGAGCTAGTTATACAAGTTACACAACTCTAAATGGTCAATAATTCCTTCATGGGACAATATACATATCATTTTACAACAAAATGACAGAAAATATACAGGACCCATCTATCATCTATCAAAAGTTTTAGATGTTTATAAAGCAATAGTTGTTTACCAAGGAAACCAATCATACACTACTAAATAGTACTTGTTTCGTAATATCACCTGGGATGTTTTCTTTAATTGTAGAACATATCATAATATAGTCTGTTCGCTAAGATAGTGTCGGTTCACCCGGAGGCACAATTATTATTCCGCTTTAATTTTACAATTTTTTTACGGTTTTTATTTATTTATTTATTTATTTATTTATAAGGGTCACCGACAGATGATACACAATTACTAAAAATAAGAACCACGCATTGTGAGAAACATGCAACGTGCTCACCCAGTTATAGGCAACCACCAGGTAAAATTTAATAGTACAGTAGCAAAATTGCGTATTTGTGAGAAATTAAAAAGGGTTTACATTTATCATCTAATACTTAGATTCTAAATAAAGTAACATTTTTCTTCTGAATTTATTTAAATTGTCATTGAAAATATCTAAATCAGATGGCCTAGATATATCATTATACAGTCTCAACATTCTGCATAATGCTGAATTAATATAGTCTGTTCACTAAGATATTAACGGTTTGTTAAATAGATGCTTTTCTATTCTTAGAATAAAATAGAATACTATTTTATTCTTATGGTTAATGTAATAAAATACGAATATAAGTTTGGTAGCAAAGAACCTTTAACTACAGCGCTTAGTTTTTTTTTTTTTTATAGGATAAGGGTGACAAACGAGCACACAGTCCACCTGATGGTAAGTGGTTGCTGCGGCCCATAGACATCTACATCTATCCTCGTTTGCGAATCAAAATGCAGATGCGTTGCCACGCGTGAGGACTAAGATGGAATGCCTCATTTCCAGTAAAAAGGGCCTCCGGCCACCTGCACTCACCGAGCGAAACGCAGAGGTAAACCTCTACTTCACGCTGGTATTCTGTGAGGTCGTGGTACCACCCCGGTTCGAGCCGGCCCATGCATGCGACAGCAAAAGCTGCCGCGTGGCTCTACCACTGTTAAAAAATTTATGTATGCAATGCAAAATTCTCCTGCCGGTGTACGCACCACGCGCCAAGGGGGCACGATACAAAGGCGACCGCATCTAAGCGAACAGAATATACAGTAAATTAATATTTAAAAAATCCAGCTGGGTTTCTTGCGAGGTGGACCAGTAGTCATACCCTTAAATGACTTTCAATAAGTATATTAATAATTTGGAGTTTATGCTGTAACAAATAAAGACAAACGGGCAGAATAAAATTAAAAAGGTTCCGTGTATGACAGCGGAACCCTAAAAACTTGGTTTCATAATAACAAAATTCTACTAACGATGTTTCAATAAGCCACGATCGTTTCTAGTACTGGCCTTCATGTAATAATCTAAATAAGGCCAGGTTGGATCCAAGTTAATCTTGTTTGATTTAATTAGAAACTGATGGAAAGTGTAAAGTTATATAAAAAAAAAAACTGGAATACAGCAATCTAGTAAGTTAACAAGCTACTTATGTTGGCAGTGAGGTAAAACAGTAATATATATCTACTAGCTGGCCAGGCAGACGTTGTTCTGCCCTTTTCGACGACTCTTCATATTAAAAATTCTTAAATTCATAATAAAAAAAAATTGAGTGTTAGTTATCCGGATAAAAACTATCCTATGTCAAGTTGGACCAAACTGCAAGTGTGCAAAATTTAGAAGAGCGTTAAATTCTTTACACAACAAGATTTTACTAGACTTTTTACCATGCACTGCAACATTTTCGGCTCGTTTTTATTAACACTCTTTCCGGTCTTGTTCCGTAAAATTTGCAATCGATTTTAAAGTAACCTCTCTATGAGCTAGAGACTTTTTAAACTTTAAACATAGCTCTGAACTTGATGACAATGCAATATTAACTCACTTTCTTGTCTGTTTATTTGTTTGTCTGTTCAGTACAAATTTAGCAATTGATTTCAAACTTACTTCCCGATGAGCTAGTGAATAGAAACTTTAAACATACTCAGGACTAGAAAATGGTAAAAATGGTTGCCGTTTTAAATTATAATTCGCTGATACCCGCGACTTCGTCCGTGTTGTTTATCATAGGCAAAGGTAGAAGAGACTTCCCCTCCACTAGGCATGCGCGCTACACCGTTTGCCCCACTTGTCTGCGGCAAGAAAACACATCACTGAACACGTAGTGCTTATTAAAATCGTTGTTTCTTAAAACTTTAATAATTTTATATTAAATGAAGATATCGCAATTTTTTTTTAGATTAAGGGCCAAGTGTTTAAGCAATAAAACTTATAAAACCTAATTGAAATCTATCCCGCAGTTTTTCCGTGATGCGCGCACAACTGCAAACTACTATCATTTTATTTATATAGATTATTTACGTGTTGGTATCATCAATAGACCAAAAAATCCAAATATGAGTCCTACGGATTTGGACTATGCGTTGGTATGTCATTCAGTTTCTTCCATATTATATTATATCAATTAATTTCGACAAGTATTGCTATCTGAATTTGATCCCAACTGAACTGTGATTATGTGACATTCTGGTGAAAATTGTGCTTGGCTTCGTTTTAACCTTTGACGTTTGGTTGCAGTAAGCTAATGTATCGGCATCGATTATAAACCTATACCTTTTTTATTTATACAATCTTATTTTAGGTTAAAAAAGTTTTATAATCTTTATATATAAAAATTACGTGTCACATTGTTTGTCCGCGATGAACTCCTAAACTACTGAACTGATTTCAATAAAATTTTGCACACTGTGTGCAGTTTGGTTCAACTTGAGAGATAGGATAGTTTTTATCCCGATAAGTGTCCCTAAATTTTTTTATTGCTAATTTCAGGAGTTATTTTAGGAAAGCAAATGGTCGTCGGAAAGGGCAGAACAATGTCTGCCTGGTCAGCTAGTGTTATTATAATAAGAAAACTACGCAGTTCCGAATTGAACCCTACCGGTAAACGATTCCCATCGGAGTTAGAGCTTGTTCACGTGGAACACGCGGGCGCGGGTGCGACAGTCGACGCGGTGGTTTGGGCAGTGTAACGTGTTGTCAGAGGTTATGAACATGGACGACGAACTTTTATTTTTAATCGAAAATTCTTACTTAAAGTGGGAGATGACAAAAAGTAGAATTGGTGTGCACGAAATTAATAAAGAAAGAGAACTGAAAGAGCGGAGAATAATCATGCGAGGCGAGTCTATTGGGTTGGATGGTCGATCGTTTGTAGCGACAAGTTCAAAATTGTTGATCTTACCTGAAGCCGCGAGTCAATCGCGCGCTCCGCCGCTTGTTCGACGTAAACACACACAAACAATTTCATACATTTGATATTGCCCGCTACTTCCACCGCACCTGCGTTTTGTACGTGAACACTTGCATAATATAATGCTATGTGCTTGATATTTCGTGCCCGGGTTCGCCACCACGCCCGCGAGATAACGTGAAAAAACATTTACACAATAACATTGCAGCTTAAATTTTAGTTATTTTATTTAATATTTATTGTTAACACCTTTATAATAGGGTAACAAAGGGCAGACTTAATGCCTATCGGCGTTCTATGCTAGTCAACCCGTGGAATGATGAGATTTTGTGATTTGGTTGATTTCTGTATTGTAAGTAATTTAGTACCTCTCAATGGTGGGTTTGATCTTGTTCTGGTCCTCGCCGGCAACGAACTGGCCGTAGAAAGTCGCCTTCATGATCGCCTCGAAGAGCCTCTGCCCGACTACTTGGCGCAGTCTCTTCATCAACTGCAATGCGAAATAAAAAATTAAAATTATATGTCAATACCTGTCTGAGCGTGGCAGACTAAATGCTTCATGACCCACAGACATGAATGGTCTGCGCCAAGCAGCGGGAAGCAGTATACTTTAACTTTAACCTTTCTTTACTTTTAGGTATAGTCTGTTCACTAAGATAGTGTCGGTAGAACCAGAGGCACACTTATTATTTTGCTTTTATTTTATTATTTTTTGTTTGTTAGATAAATGTTTTTCTATTCTAAGAATAAAATAGTTAAAATAGAATAGTATTTTATTCTTATGGTCATTGTAATAAAATACGAATATAAATAATATACACAAGTTATGTAGCAAAGAATCTTAGTGAAACGGCGCTTCGTTTTAAAAATGCCAAATTTTCCTGCGGGTGTACGCCCCACGCGGCGACCGACAAGATGCGATACGTGCCCGTGCGGCGCGACACAAAGGCAACCATATTTAATCTAATAGACTATCATCATCATCATCAAGGCGTTCCCCAAGTTATACAACAAAGCACGATCCTGAGCCACCTGCATCCATCGACTGCCTGCATGTCTCACCAGGTCGTCACTCCATCTAGTGGGGGGTCGCCCTAAACTTCGCCTACCGCTACGCGGCTGCCACTCGAGAACCTTTTTTCCCCATCGGTTGTCGGTTCTTCGAGCTATATGGCCAGCCCATTGCCACTTCAGCTTACTAATCAGTTTGGCTATGTCGGTCACTCTGGTTCTACTGCGGATATCCTCATTCCTAATTTTATCACGCAAAGAAACCCCAAGCATAGCCCTCTTCATAGCTCGCTGAGCGACCTTGAGCGTCCTCATACGGCCGGTAGTGAAGGACCACGTCTCAACTCCATAAGTCATCACTGGCAACACGCACTGGTTGTACAATTTCGTTTTCAGGTTTTGAGGAATACCTGACGAGAAAATGTGTCGTAGGTAATTTCCCGAACGCTGCCCAACCGAGTTGAATACGTCGATTGACCTCTCGGTCGAAGTTGGACTTACCTAGTCGGACTATTTGTCCCAGGTAAACATACTCGTCAACAACTTCGAGCTTAGTGCTCCCAAGAACTACCGGCATAGGTGTGACATGGACATTACACATGACCTTTGTTTTGTCTATGTTCATCTTAAGACCTATCCGTTTGGAGACACTATTGAGGTCATTGAGCATAGTGCTTAGGTGCTCCAGCTATTCTGCCATAAGGACTATATCGTCGGCAAATCGAAGGTAAGAGACGTACTCGCCATTGATGTTAATACCGTATCCTTTCCAGTCCAGTAGTTTCAAAAGGTCTTCCAATGCAACGGTGAAGAGTTTCCGAGATAAAACGTCACCCTGTCTTACACTTTTCAGACAATATAAATATATACAGACTATACAAACAAATATATGCATTGTTTTCCCAGTAGGAAATTATTATAATGGGTCCGATTTCCCAGTCCTTATTTTAACATATCTCCACATTTTTAAAGTTTCTAGAATGCTATGATTTTAAGGAGAATGTCTATATGTGTACGTCCTACCGTGTAGTGACGGTGTGAGAATATCCACTACCCCATATCGTCCCGTGGGTGTCGTAAGGGGCGACAGTGGGCGTCCACAGTGAATGCGCGGTGACTTGGGCCTGTTGCGGGCGCGACGGCGGGTGCGTGCCGTGGCCACAGTGACGAGCGAGCTGTTGGTGTGCTTAGACCGTATTTCAGGTTTTGCAAACCATAGGCAAGGATTTAGTATCTTTACTAGACATTTCTATCCTGAGATGGGAGTTGAACGGAGGGTGTGCACGATGTAAATAAAACCAGAGAAATAAATGATGAATTTTTTACTATGTATGAAGAATTGAGATTGTATCCTAGAAAATTCTTTGAGTACACACGAATGTCCGTGTCAATATTTGATTATATCATGAGTAAAATATCACCAAAAATCATTTTAAAAAAAATTGAAGACGCGTTCACCGAGCGATAAGACCGAACTGGTTTGATACACCCGCACCCGCGCATTGGATCGCTTGCTGACTAGGCACGTAGTGTGGTCAAAACGCGCGGATAGGAACGTTTGAAAACTACGCTCGCTATCTCGCCCGTGCCCATGGCGTTAGGCGCCCGCCTTAGTCACTACACTATGGACGCAAACGGCGGTTTTATATGTTTGATACTTCGCGCCCGTCGTCGCAACCGCACTAGGCTTGCACTGTGGACAAGGGCAGAGGGAAACCGAAACAGGAGCTGGCAGCAGCATCTTCCTGATAACAACTCTTAATGTCTACAGGCTGAGTTAACACAGTCATAATGAAGGAAGCAGAAATAGGTAAGAGGTCGGTAGCTACCCCGATGGACTATTAGTCAGGAAGGATGTCCTAACATCTAGAAATATGTGTGCTTACTCGTCAGCATGCGAATAATAGTCAAATTTACAGAAACACGTCAAGTGCTTGCAATACTAACTTTGCATTGTGAATGTGTGAACTTGAACGTTTAGTCTAGACTTTGCTTTGTAAATATTTATGCAGCCGACTTAACTCGTACGCGTATTTAAATGATGTGTACATACATTACATACACATACATTATCAAAAGTCTATTGCTGAACATAGGCCTCCCTCATAGTTTGTCCCATAGGAGATAATAGCAACAGTTGTCACGCTCATAGAATACCATAATACACACGCTTGGCAGTCGGAGCAGCAAACACAATGTTTTTATTATTTTCAGTTGTAATAACATAATGTTTTTTTTTTTTAATTAAAGAAGTTATGAAAAGATTCATCGATTTGTTCGCACACTAAATATAGATAGTAAACCGTGTAATAAAAATCCAATTGTTATATTGTAAACTAGCGATCCGCCCTGGCTTCGCACGGTTGATTTCTGGATCTCGACAACAAAGCCACCTACCAAGTCCAATTGTGAATCTAAACCTTTTTTTTTATAGGATAGGGTGACAAACGAGCACACAGTTCACCTGATGGTAAGTTGTTGCTGCGGCCTATAGACATCTACATCTATCTTCGATTACGAATCAAAATGCAGATGCGTTGTCACCCTTGAGGACTAAGATGGAATGCCTCGTTTCCAGTAAAAACGGTCTCCGGTTCTCTACACTCACCATACGAAACACAGCAGCGTTCAGTTGCTATTTTACGCTGGTATTCTGTGAGAGCGTGGTCCGTCCCCGGTCGAGCCGGCCCATTCGTACTACAATTATACCAGTAATATAGCTGTAGCATGGTTCTACCACGTTTAAAAATCTTTCTCTAATCAACTTAATCACACACACAAAATTTCATCAAAAACGGTCCAGCCGTTTAGTAGGAGTTGTCACATACACAAGTCACAAATCTGAGTTGTGTTGTGGGTAATATAAATAGTAGGTACCTATTATATCCGAGACATAATGGGTGGCAACAAATTATTCGGCAGTGACATGGATACTAGACGGACGTTTGAAGGACACGTATTGTATGGGGGCTATGATATGAACCGTGTAGTGGCGGTGTAAAAGGTTGATCGGTATCCACTACCCCATATCGTAACGTGGGTAATGGGTATCGTAAGAGGCAAAAGAGAGAAACTGAAACAGGATCTCCAGCAGCATCTTTCACATAACAGCCGAATAAAAATAAATACTGTAGTTGCCAACACGCTCGCCAATCGTGGCAACTATGGCAAATATCCCCTCATGAGGCAATCTATAAGGGAGACCTATGTTATCTATGAAATCTAAAATGATAATATGAATAAGTTAAAAAATATTTCGAATAAAAATCTTCCTTGGGCTGAAATAAGAATGACTAAATTACAAGTATTTAGTTATAATTGGTAAAGGAAAACATTGTAACAAAACTTGCATGTCCAGGGAATAAAACATTTAAAAAAACGCGTGGTGGAGAATGGAGCAACGCGGCGAACAAATTACCCCACCTTCTCTATTTTATTTTATTTTTTATTTTACACAATAGGGTGACAAACAAACACACAGTCCACCTGATAGTAAGTGGTTACTGTGATCCATAGACATCTACATTTATCCTCAATAAATAATCAAAATGCAGATGCGGATGCGGGATGCGTCGTCACCCGTGAGGACTAAGATGGAATGCCTCTTTTCCAGTAAAATGGGTCTCCGGTTCTCTACACTCACCATACGAAACACAGCAGTATCAAGCTACCATTTTACGCTGGCTCTGAAATGAGGAGAGGTTTTGATCCAGCTGTGAGAAGTATATACATATATGCTGAACTTTTAACTTTGACTTTTAGAACCAGAATCGGACACTAGCTATCTGTCTATTTACATTTTTTTTAAACTGAAGTGACAAACGACCTCACATTCCACCTGATGGTAAGCGGGTACTGCAGTTGTCCATGGACCTGCAACCATTTTACAAAAAGAAGGCTACGCATGCGTTATCACCTCTGAGGAATAAATTGTAACGCCTGCTTGTAATTATACTGGTCCTCTATAATCTTCACCTTGACACACACGACAAAAGGAGTCTTATCACATAGATAATAAATATCATTCTCTAATATCTAGGTACTTAACAGCTGTTGAAGAACCGGCTCGGTTCTTTTACGACAAGACGCAATCCGTAAGATTGGAAATAGAACATGTAAGATGTATATCGTCTAGGGAGCAATGTCCTTTGTGAATCGCCGCCTGATCCATTCAATACCTTACAGTTTATACTCGTATGTTTGCACTACTTGATATTAGATCCTACCGAACGGTTGAAACCTGGGACGGTCTTTCACATTCTAGCTAAGGAATATATTACGATAACTGTAAAAATATAATTTTATATTTTCAACATCATCATTTTTTTTATATGATAAGGTAATAAACGAGCACCCAGTCCACCTGATGGTAAGTGGTTGCTGTGACATCCACATCTATCTTCAATAAAGAATCAAAATGCAGATACGTTGTCACCCGTGAGGACTAAGATGGGAAGCCTCTTTTCCCGTAAAAAGGGT